ACCCATTCCTTAATTCCATAATATATTTTAAAAAAATTATCAACTTCGAATGAGTGTTGAACCCGAAACTTAATGGCGCAATAGCCAAAGCCGCCTTCTTTTCATATTCATAATTAGCCTATAATCCCTGACATGTCAAATTTTTTATAATTTTCCCTCTTATTTTTTTGACATTTTGAAAAATGAAAACACTATTTTATTGCCTTTGTAGGCAGACAAGCGTTTGGCCCACCTGATGGTGAGTGGTTACCGTCACCCATGGACTTCGGCAATGTCAGGGGCAGAGCCAAGCCACTCCCTACCTTTTAATAATCTCTACAATCCTAGTTTGAAGAAAGACATGTCATAGCGCTCGGAAAACACCGTGGAGAGGAGCTCATTCCAAAGCCGGGTGTTACGTGGCAAAGAAGATCTCTGGAAATGCACTGTGGATGACCGCAGTGGCTCCAGGTAGTATGGATGGTCTCTACTCCGGTGACGGGCGCTGCGTTGGTAAAAACGAAATGATGGAATCATCTCCAACAATTCCTCGTAGCTATCCCCATGGAACATACGGTACAAAATACAGAGGAAACAGAAGACCCTCCGCAGACTCAGAAGTTCCAAACGATCCGAGAGAATGGGATTATCGACAATTCGAATGGCTGTCTTTTGTATGGAGTCAAATGAAAGTATCTGGTATTTGGAAGCCCCAGCCCAGAGGTAGGAGCAGTATTCCTCGCGAGGCCGGATCTGTGCTTTATAGAGCACAAGTCTTTGTCGAGGCGTGAAGTACCGCTTCGCTCTGTTGAGGACTCCGAGCATTTTTGACGCCAACTTAGCTTTGCCCTTCAAATGACGCTGATATTGGACATCGCTCGCAATATCGACCCCAAGTATGCCAATACTCTCGGTAGGTTGCAGGGAAACTCCTTTGAATTGCAGGACCATGCCAAAGGGGTCCTTCTTAGCAGTGAATGCCCTATTACACAGACTATTCCAAATAAAAATTATTAAGCTTGTTAGTGTCAAAAGCTACTTAGGAAACAAGTCGGTTGACAAACAGAAAAATGATACTAATTTGTGCTTGGCCATTTATATGGAAGTAGATATCATAGTTTTATGTAGAATGCTCTAAAGCAGTAGACAATCTTTTAGTTGCTTCAAAAAGTAACTCTTTATTTTGCTGAAATCAAGGCTTGACGTTTTGCGAGTTTAGCATGGCCCACAAGACATGATCGAAACTTGTGTCTGAAGTAGTGGAATATATAGTCAACAGTATGTAGTCATTGTCTTTGGCATGTACCACCTGATTCTAGAATAAAATTCCTTTTTTTTTTATTGCTTAGATTGATGGACGATCTCACAGCCCACCTGATATGAAGTGGTTACTGGAGCCCATAGACATCTACAGCATGCCGTAAATACCGCCACCCACCTCGAGATATAAGTTCTAAGGTATAGTTACAACGGCTACCCCACCCTTCGAACCGAAACGCATTACTGCTTCACAGCGGAAATAGGCGGGGTGGTGGTACCTACCCGTGCGGACACCCAAAAGGTCCTACCACCAGTGATTACGCAAATTATAATTTTGCGGGTTTGATTTTTATTACACGATGTTATTCCTTCACCGTGGAAGTCAATCGTGAACATTTGTTGAGTACGTATTTCATTAGAAAAATTGGTACCCGCCTGCGGGATTAGAGCACCGGTGCATCGCTAAATACGAATGCACCGGACGTCTTATCCTTTAGGCCACGACGACGACATCCTATTCCTCTCCTATATCCTCTATCCTATTCCCCTACAGTTGATCACCATAAGAAGTGTGAGGTTTAAAGGAGTAATTTTCCATAGGCAGTGACTGTGCAATGGTAATCAGTTACTATCATATGAGCCATTAGTTCTTCTGACTAATGTACTAATTAAGAAAAAAAAATCTTGACTACATCAACTTTCATTTTATCATCATCATCATCAGCCTCAAGTCATCCACTGCTGAACATAGGCCTCTCCAAATCCACACAGCTGAACCTGATTTTCAGCTTTACCCATCCACCTCTTGCCCGCAACTCTTCGAAGGTCTTTAGACCACCTAGACATGCAGTGTCCCACTTTATTTTATACTGTTGAAACCAAGTGAGCTGACATTATACAATATCCACTCAGATGAAAATCTTTCCTTTTGACAATATGAAATTAAATAATATTTCCCAAATATCTTACAATATTATGTAATGGGATGTATTGGAAGTAAATATTTTCTTAATATAAATTGCAGTATCTATATTATTAATTATATATATTCTATTCTAGAGGGCATAGAATGCTTAAGTAAATAAATATATTTTAAATATATTTCATAATTCAATTTTATCTAAAAAAAACTATTAAAAACGTTGTAAAACACACTATGAGAATAATTTTGAATAGATACCAATATGAGAAATGTGAATATAATCATGTGAAATGTTCTCAGTATGCTGAAGAGTCTCATTACAAGCTTCCATTGATTATAATTCTTTTTTTAAAGAAACAAGAAAATGTTTCATTCAACTAGAGTTAAAGTTTTTTTTGTTCACTATCATGTGCTGTCCATACAGTATTTTATGTTTATTGCTATTTAGTCTTAGATGAGATATTAAGATATACTTATACAAATGACCAATGACCATAATAAGGTCAATTACATTCTTTTTCCCATTAAAACCTTGTTCGAAAAATCAAGTATAGGCATCTCCTGTTACATAATTTTCTATGCGTGCTTGTTCACAATTAAAGTATATAGTATAATTATTGACCGGTAAAATATTTCTTCATACATAAATACAAAAACATAGAACAGTGTGAATAGTATATTCTCAGGACTTTTAATATCAGATGATGTTCACAGGCGAAGAACACTTCGCAGCATAACTACCTGACTCTTTATTAAGATAGGTTTCAGTTACAAATCATAGAATATTCAAATTAATATTAAATTCGTTTCTGGGGCGTGGTCTTCTATGATTTTACGTGCCGTAAAAGGCTGAATAAATTCATTTATCTACACATTTTGACATAAATTGTATAATCTTCCTGGAACATCATTGAAATCTAAAATAAACCTAGTAAAAGCAAAGAAAACAGGCAAAAAAGTAATACTTACATCAAGAGATTCCTTTGACGCCATTTTTCACACACAAACAATTTGACATAAATTGACGTTTGATTGTCGGCAACGAAAATCAATAACAAGCCGTTGGCGTTCGGAAACACTAACATCATTGGTTACCATGGGGTCAAAATGAGCGCTTTTTTAAATATGTAACTCGGATAATATAATTTAATATATAATAATTAAGGTCGTTTTAAGAGCCTACCGTTAGTGATCATCACTGTGCCCATTCCTACTGCGAAACAGTAAAGAAAACCGGTTTGAAGGATGGGATAATTGAAAGTTAAACCTTATGCGTCAAGGTTGATGGTGGCTTTGTTGTAATGTATGTAGGCTCCAATAACTACATAACACCAGGTTGGCCAAGAGGCTGTTCACCCGTGTAGCAATAAAAGTATATAATATCACTAAGTTCAATGTGTCATGAAATCTTCTGGGATAACGATACATTTCACGTGCAACCCGACTCAAGACTGCTAATACTTAATGGGTGAAATAGGTAGGGTGGTGGTACCTGCCCGTGTTGACTCACAAAAGGTCCAACCACCTGTAAGTAAAACTTCGCATCGTACAATAAGATTGCAAATTCCTATGAAAACTTAAAAGTCTTTGGATCACACATGCTCACCATAAGTAACACCTATGTAAAATATACAATATGCAATATACGAGCGAGTGCTCAATGGAGATTTACGGGTTACCATTTGAGTATGGGGTACTCATTAAATTAAATTAGAATATCTATTGACTCAGCATATTTCCTTAATATTACCTATCTGCCAAGTCCAAATTAAGCCCCAATTAGTATACCACAGACGTCATGAGCTGAAGAGGAAATACACAGGTGAAGAGAAATATATTATTATGTTGTTGTATCATGCAATGCGGCTGTGCTTTTCTTCAAATCTAATAGGTAGACACCTACCATTTTTTAAAGCGAACACGTACTCAATAGAAATGACCTCTTAGAAAGAGGAGCAACGTTATGTCATAATAATTAAGCCCGCAAAAATATAAATGTGTGCAATTACTAAGAACACCATCCTGCCGGTTTCTGTCGAATAACAGTATGGTCCTAGACAAAGGGTTGAACGTGACGTTTATCCTATAATATTAGCCTGTTGAGTTTTTCGCTGGGTTTTTTCAGTGGAATACGATTCTGATCCGGAACAAAATTCATTCAGCGACTACTCTAATGCCACCCACTCACATGCGCGCGAGCATTTGTATATTGTACGAATGTTCGCGCGTATGTGAGTAGCCGTCAGACATTCATTCGCAAACTTAGAGGCTACGGCTCTGCAAATGGGTTCGGTATTCAATTTGCGAACCCGTTTGCGCTTCCTCCTACACTTGTTTACGAATATCTCACGAATTTCTCATTTTTTTTAATTCGTCAATAGAACATTGAAGAGAAACTCTTTCCCAGGCGTCATTAACGGCCATTCTGTTTTTATGGGATTTCTTTTGAGGGTCCCATATGGTCGATTCATTTTGCAGGTGTTCAATGAACTCCATCACCTTGGTGTTGTTCCAATCCATGATGAAGGTACGCTACACAGTAGATGTTACGAACTATAAAAATGGCGAAACGTCCGTTACCTTCGCAATCGTGGGCACAACTGGTCACACGAATGTGTGGGAGACTACGCGAAGGATCGCGGTTCGCGCGCTTTGATGTCCGTTAAAAAACCGACACAGCTTGGATGCATAATCATTTGCAAATGTCGTCCTACACTTGTGGGTATTCGCGTATTCGTGCGAATGTGAGTGATCGGTATAAGCCTGTAGGGCGCAGGGGAAGGCTCCCTTCCACCCAGAAAAAAAAAGAAAAAATCAAAACTGTCAACAATGTCAACAATTTGTATTCAGAAATTCAGAAATGAACATTGTTGAGCTTTATATAAAAGTTAATTCTGACTTATTAACTGATTAATTAAAAGAAGCGCGAAACATCAATGTATGTACTTAATTGAAAGTGACTATAATTATTGAGTATTTTTGAATCGTATATAAAGTATGTCAGTTTGAAATTTGTTTACCGATTCTTCCTCTGTATTTTCCTACTTTTTTAATATTTTTCTGTTGAAAGACTACTGCTAAACGAATTTTGATTATCTGAACATTGTCCTGTACATTGTTGTTTGTTTCCAGAAAGCAGTATGAGGATCAGACGTTTATCGGCGTTTTTTTGGATGACGTGTATTATAGCTTTTATTTTTATTTTATACGTGATGACAGACTTAAGTTTTAATTTACCTAGTGTTAAACCAGCTATAAACATAGATGAGGTAAGTTCAAAAAGTATTAAATACTGTTAAAAATAAATTAAAAACACAGGACCGGTTCTATGCAAATAAATTAAATTCTAAATTTAAAAGGATTTTCTACTACACCCTATCCTGGCTAAGTTTTGGCTGAATAACATAGAGACATTTGAATTGGTAGTTTTTTTAAAATGTAAATTGAATTTTATTTCATTAAATGCCCCATAAATAATTTGAATAAAAATAACTGCATGGTTATTAATGTATAATGAAATGAATAATAAATTTGTGTAATTACTGAAGGTACAATGTATTGTGAGTCTGCATGAATAATTGCCACCAATTAGCCTAATTTCTGGTATGAAGCACTCATAGACCCCACTCCTGGGGGTGAAATAAAGGAGTTGAATATGGTTCTGTGCTCAGGTAACCTCTTAGGACTAGACGGCAAAAATTACAGCTCTCACATATTACGTCTATTTTAAAACAGAGACTTAGTTTTCATGCATACAAACTTTTTTTTTTTTTCAGAACAAGTGGTCTGCCTTTGAATCAAAATTACGTCATATTGAAAATGAACTTGATCAACATCATGCTGTTGTTGGTGAAATAAAATCAGCCATGAGCCAAATTATAGAACAGTCAAATGAATATCACCCGCCACAGAAAAGACCAAGGCAAATGCAGAAAAACAAAAAAATAAGAGAGTTCAAAGTAGTAGGAGATGAGCCACCAAGGATGCACATAAAATTGAATGAATCAACTTGTCCCATTCAGAAATTCTCAGTTCCAAAAACTGATGTGCAGGTAAGATTTGGTTCTATTTATTGTATTACAATCTTATATGTTAATATATTTTAATTCATTAAATTAGTGATACTATTACATTGTCACCAAAATTAATAGTGAGTGAAATTTGAAATCCACCAGCAGCATGTATTTCATTCTTCTGGATAGGGATAGAGACTGACTTTTTGGCCCCTTCCACTATATTTACAGTTTTTATGAAAATCCTGTAATTTTGGAGTCCTGAATAGGTTTATGGTGGCTTCACATGTGAGCTTTTAACAATTATAGATAATCTTAGCATCCATTTATTCAAATGTTCAACTGATGAGTTTGACACTGGCTACCAACAAGATATCATAAAAAAATAATCAATTCAATAAATCAGCCACAGTATTTCTTGATATGAAATAATCATACATCATAATAATCATAGATAAACCTTAAATAATAGTATTTTATAATTAAAACTATGTTCAAGGCACAGTGACACATTTCGTTTTTGATTATCTATTGATTAAGAAAAAAAAACAATACCCAGTTGAACAGGTAGGTCAATTTAAATATTCAAGTACAATTACTAATCTATCTAAACTATCAAAACTTATCAACCTTGATTATTTTTATCTTTATTTGTTTGTTCACAATTACACCAAGATAATCCCATTTTTATTTACTGTCTCTTAATAGATGTTATCCCTGTATGAAAGGATTATGTTTGATGATAAAGATGGAGGTGTTTGGAAACAAGGATGGAATATCGAATACAATGAAAACCAATGGAGTCAGAAAAACAAATTGAAAGTTTTTATTGTACCACATTCACACAATGACCCAGGTATGTAGTTTTCTCCACAATGTATCCCACATGGAAATGGAAAACTAGGTTCATTTAATTTTTTTATAAATTTGGAGAAGGGTTGGGATTCTGGTATCGAGTTAAATGTGGATATATTTATGTGGAGATTTGATTACACTTAGTTATCGAAAATATATATTAATACTTTTTACTTATTATCTCTTATAGATTTTAGAACATGCTATCTATACTTCTATACTAATATTATAAAGAGAAAAGATTTGTTTGTTTGTATTGAATAGGCTCCGAAAGTACTGAACCGATATGAAAAATTCTTTCACTGTTTGGAAGCTACACTATTCCCAAGTAACATAGGCTACAATCTTTTTTGAAAAAAATTAGGGATCCTTAATAAAACTCCAATAATGTAACCCAAGGTGTAAAAAAAATACCTAAAATATTCTTTAGATCGCGTGCCGTGCGAAAACTATTCATGATAGAATTAAATTAATGTAGTATGACTTTGTAAAACACATTATTATTTACAAAAAGTGTCGCAACAGCATATGTCTCACTATTATAGTTACGACGCAATAAGTGTTCTTTTTTAAAAAAAATAAAACAATGTCAGATATCGTTGAAATTTTTGTTAAAGACCCGAGCGGAGCCGGAGCGGGCCGCTGTCGTTTATAATTTGAACCTTGTGTTCTGAAAAATATGTTACCATTGCTCATGCGAAAGTTTATAATGAATATAAATGAAATCATTGATGTTCTAGGTTGGTTAAAAACCTTCGAAAATTATTACAAGTCACAAACAAGAGCAATATTCAATAATATGATAGAAAAATTGAACGAGGGTGTAGGGCGTAAGTTTATATGGGCCGAAATAAGTTTTCTATCGCTGTGGTGGAATAACGATGCTACTGAGAAAGACAAGACTGCTTTCCTGAAGTAAGTGCAGCATGTTTGTTCATTCACGATTATTTAAATTGTTGTACAAAAATTTAATTAAAAAAAAAACATAAATACTTGTACTATACTATGAAATGCAATGAAATGAATATGAATGAATGATATGAAATGAAATGCAACACAGTCGATTTTAAAGGTGTTGTTAGTGTTAATCATAGAAATAATAATGATTGAATAAAAATTTAAAATTATTTTACTCATTTAAATAATTTAAATAACGTATTTCAGTGAACCAACAACAATCAATGTTCCTTTCATGTAAAATAAATATATAAATCTCGAAACACGACCGATATTGCTTTTTAATGACGCATTTTAATGAAGTCATTAATTTTTATTATTATTTAGTAGGTATTGTTGTAGTTTTTCGTGAAAATATATTTAAAACTACTGTTTGTTACTGTACTGTTACAGTTTGATCTGGTTTTTATTTTATAATTTTCATTTTATTATTTGAGACATTTTGAATAATTTACAGGGTTCTTGGTCTTAAAAGTACTTTTATAATTTCTTTTTATTAATTGTTAATATCTTTAACAAACAAATATTATATTTCAGTTTATTGAAATCAAAGAAACTTGAAATCGTGACAGGCGGATGGGTTATGAACGACGAGGCGAATTCACATTGGCTGTCTGTAGTGCAACAATTGACCACCGGACATCAGTGGCTACTCGACAATTTGGGATATGTACCCAAAAACGCATGGTCCATTGATCCGTTCGGTTATTCCAGCGCGCAACCTTACCTCCTCAAGATAGCCGGTTTCGATAATTCCATGATACAGAGGGTACACTATAGAATTAAGAAAGAATTGGCTTCGAATAGACAGTTGGAATTTAGATGGAGACAGTTATGGGGTAAGATTATATTCTGTTGTAAATTAGTTTACAGTTTTCATGGTCACTGACAACTCTGTTATGCAATTATTATACATGATCATTATCGGTTCAATTTGATTGGATATAATTTAGAAGTTGTCGTGGCCTAAAGCAGTGGTCGCCAAACGGGCATTCGAACCACCGACCCATTTTTACTGGTGGTAGGACCTCTTGTGAGTCCGCGCTGGTAGGTACCACCACCTGCCTATTTCTGCCGTGAAGCAGTAATGCGTTTCGGTTTGAAGTTTGGGGCAGCCGCTCTAACTATACTTGAGACCTTAGAACTTATATCTCAAGGTGGGTGGCGTATTCACGTCGTAGATGTCTATGGGCTCTCCACTTAACACCAGGTGGGCTGTGAGCTCGTCCACCCATCTAAGTAATAAAAAAAGAAGTACAAAGTGCCGCCATCTGGCGTCACACTATAAATAAGAGCAGAGCATATAGCCTAAAATCAATAAAATTCTATCCAATACTTAGATGACGATTAATGGGCCGTGAACTCGTTTACACATCGAGTCAATAAGTTTTTTTTTTTTTTTTTCAAAAATGTGTTTGTTTTAAATGTACTTATTAGTAATATTTGTTTTAGATGGTGTTGGGAAAACTGATATGTTCACACATTTGTTCCCGTTTTATTCGTACGATGTTCCTCACTCGTGCGGTCCGGATCCTAAGGTAAGTGTAACCAATAATTAAAGCCGCCGCATACCTTGACCCACTTTGGGACACGTTGTCTAAGTCTCATTCATATTGCATAATAAAGTTTCCACTCTTGAAACCCTAATACGTAACAGCTTCACGGTAAAGATAGGAAGGGTAACGGTGCTTACCCGGATAGTCATAAGACGTCCTATGGTCAAGAGTTACGCGAATCATAATTTTTGCGGATTTTATTCTATTACAGGATGTAATTCCTTGATCATGTTAAGCGCGCATTTGATTACAAAAATTCGTATCTGCGGGATTCGAACCCCGGTACAGTCTCATCGCTCTATACCGGGCGTCTTATCCCAAAGACCACCGTGATGTTATCAGCCTCAACGAAGTCTTGGCTCTCGGTTGATCAACAGCGATCACACAATGCTGTTAAGATTTTGATATCATGTCTCAGGTAACCACTCAACACTAGATAAGCTGTGAACTTGTTCACCGATCAAAGGCAAAAAGTAGTAATAGTGAATATGATACCTACATGGAAATTATATGTAACCTTTTTTTTAATTGGTTAGTTGGGTGGACGAGCTCACGGCCCATCTGATGTTAAGTGGTTACCGGAACTCATAGATTTCAATTTTTAAAGTACAGCGGCTGCCCTACCCTTCGAACCTAAATTACTGCTTCACGACAGAAATGGCAAAGTGATGGGCACCTAATCGTGTGGACTCACAAAACCTTAGCTTAAACAAAAATCTAATCAAGTCAAGTCTAATTTTGTAGATAATCTCTACATGTAAGCTATCAAAATAAAGTAAACTTTAATTTGTTATATCTTCAGATATGTTGTCAATTTGATTTCAAACGTCTACCCGGTAACGGGGTTACTTGTCCGTGGGGCGTTGCACCCCAGAGGATAACCCAGAAGAATGTGGATGAAAGGTATGACTGATTAAGTTAATATTGCTTAATTAAGTTAGTATTCTCTTTCGGATAGCTGGATTACATAAATATTTTAATACTTAGAACATGGTTGCATTAATACATCGAATGACTTACCTATTAGATTGGATTGGGTGAGGCCTTTTTTGCAACAGTTTATCTAATTTATGTTTGGACGTACAAGCTCACTTCAAGTCACGCCTGCTTGAAACATTAGGGGGATGACTCGATTGCATTATATTATAAAGGTTTCTCATAGAAGACTTTTCAACATCTATTCATAAAAATAGTCAAATCAAAGAATAAAAAAAAAATTTTTTTTTTATTACAATTGGACCGTCCGCTATGACTTCCAGAGCGTTCAAGATATTAGATCAGTGGAGGAAGAAGGCTCAACTCTACAGAAGTAACGTGTTGTTCTTCCCTCTCGGTGACGACTTCCGGTACGACCGCGCCAACGAGTGGGACAATCAGTACCAGAACTACGACATGCTGATAGAGTACATCAACAGTAACGATGCTTGGAACACTGAGGTTAGTATATTATTATAAATGTAATACATAAATGGGTCATTGAACTCACGGCCCAGCTGTTTTAAACTGGTTATTAAATCCCATCGACATTACACCATGTATGCCGTCACTCTCCTTGACATACCATACTGCCTAGAACCACTGCATTCACAGTACGCTTCCAGAGATCTTTTTTGTCACGTACCATCCGGCTTTGGAATGAGCTCCCCTCTACGGTGTTTGCCCAAAGCTATGACATGTCCTTCTTCAACGAGGCTTATGGAGAGTAATTAACGGTACGTATCGGTTTGGCTCTGGACCCCAACATTGCTGACGTCCATGGGCGACGGTAAACACTCACGATCAGATGGGCCGTGTGGCTACAAGGGTATTAAGAAAAATAAAAAACATGAGGCTGAAGTCTCAATTGTAAGGTAGAACTACCTTTCGAACTTCACGTATGCTGTTTTGCTGTAAAACAGGCAAGGTCCCTGTTGGAAAACTGTATCAGATGAGTAATTCTTTATGTAATTTTAAACAACAATTTCAGGTACAATACGGTACCCTCGAAGATTACTTCAAAGCATTACACGATGAAGTGAAACTATCAAACTTCCCGGTACTGTCCGGGGACTTTTTCACGTACGCCGATCGGAACCAGCACTACTGGAGCGGGTACTACACCTCCAGACCGTTTTATAAGAACATGGATAGAGTTTTACTGGCCTATGTCAGGTAAGAGATGTTAACGTGATGATAAGGCTTCTTCGGATTCCGCAAATCGGCATTTAGTTCCTTAAATCCGCCCTCGTCCAGGCCAGGTCTGGATAGTCGGTCGACTGTCTTCATGCCGATATACTCCTTGGGATGACAGACGTCATCTTGTCACCTGTCACCTCACGCTTGACAATCAGGAACGATTGATATGGGTTTCGTATTTATTGCATTGTGTTTATGTTAAGCAAATTAAATTTAGAAAAACTAAGTCATAATTTATTTTTTTGTAAATTTTAGAGGTACTATTATTTTGTAAATAGTACTGAGCACTGTGCTATTTATGTTTTACAGAACTATTTATGTTTTAATATTGGTGTAAAAGAAAAACTTGGTTCTCTTGTTTTCAAAAACTAATACCGGTTTTTATTTTTCAAAAATTGATTATTTTGGTAATTTGGGCTAACGAAACACATTCCATTACATATTAAACACATTTTCATTACACATTACTATTTGAAATGTATAAAAAGAAAGAACCGGTTTAAGTACAGAACTTTTACAATTTGCACCACAAAGATCATCTGTTATGAAACTATTGATCTGGCAATACTTTTTAAAATTTATCATCAAATTGTTTTTAGTAGGACTGAATTATCAACTCTGTTTCGACTGTGAACGTACCTGCCTGTATTTAATTAGAATATAAACTTGATTTTTTATTTATGTTGAATATGTTGATATCCAAACAAAGGTCTAATCATTTATACTAATGATCCCCTGGTTGTCGAAATTCAACTATAATTAATTGAAATTATAAGTTTGTACACTATTATGATTCTATTGTCAAAGACTAATAATATACTTCTATAATCACATAATTCGCTAAGATTACACGTTAGACAAATATTAATAAAGACAAACAATATTTAATCTATTCTTAGTTTGACCATAAGAGTTTGACCATAAGTTTTTTTTTTATTTTTTATTGCTTAGATGTGTGGACGAGCTCACAGCCCACCTGATGTTAAGTGGTTACTGGAGCCCATAGACATCTACAACGTAAATGCGCCACCCACCTCGAGATATAAGTTCTAAGGTCTCAGTATAGCTCAGTATAGTTACAACGGCTACCCCACCCTTCGAACCGAAACGCATTACTGCTTCACGGCGGAAATAGGCGGGGTAGTGGTACCTACCCGTGCGGACTCCCAAGAGGTCCTACCACCAGTGATTACGCAAATTATAATTTTGCGGGTTTGATTTTTATTACACGATGTTATTCCTTCACCGTGGAAGTCAATCGTGAACATTTGTTGAGTACGTATTTCNACAACGGCTACCCCACCCTTCGAACCGAAACGCATTACTGCTTCACGGCGGAAATAGGCGGGGTAGTGGTACCTACCCGTGCGGACTCCCAAGAGGTCCTACCACCAGTGATTACGCAAATTATAATTTTGCGGGTTTGATTTTTATTACACGATGTTATTCCTTCACCGTGGAAGTCAATCGTGAACATTTGTTGAGTACGTATTTCATTAGAAAAATTGGTACCCGCCTGCGGGATTCGAACACCTGTGCATCGCTTCATACAAATGCACCGGACGTCTTATCCTTTAGGCCACGACGACTTCAGTTTGACAATAAACAAATAATATGCATGCGTGTGTGTGTCAAATACATGGTAGAGTAATGTTTTTTAATTGATTTAATGAATTTTTTATGCATAATTTAAAAAAATATTAACATTCTGCACTCCTTCTCTATATCTATACTTAATATGTAAATCTACAGTGGTTTTTACGGATGTTCCGTTATAAATACTGAACCATGCATCCGATTGACTTGAAACTTGGTATCCATGTAAAAAATACATATACTTAATGGATAGGCTAATATTTGTATGAGTGTTGGACTCTCTACTCCAGTTGCGGGGGCGCTAATGTTGAGAATCTTTGTGGGGGTGAGAAATAATAATGTTAATCTTAAATGCCCAGCAAAGCGGACGGGTACAGTTAGTTCTCTATAAGTGTTTTTTTTTTACAACGGCAATTAAAAAAAAAAAGTGTGGGAAATTTGATACCCCTCCTTCCGCGCAATTTTCGTAAAAATGGGTACAAAGTTTTTGCGTCACTTATTAATATATAGATAATAAGAGTTCAATAAATCTGTTTACTACAGGGCAGCCGAAATAATAACAGCTCAAGCGACGGACACGCATGCTGTGTCGTACATAATGTCGCTTCAGCTGAGGGACCGGGTCGAGCAGGCCCGCAGGTCGCTCTCGCTGTTCCAGCATCACGACGGCATCACCGGCACCTCCAGGGACGAGGTCAGGGAGGACTACGCCAAGAAGTGAGCTCTAATTTGTTTATGCATTCTTTTGTACTACAATTTTTTTTTGTGTCAATGTGAGTGGACGTGCTCACAACCCACCTGGTGTTAAGTGGTTATTGGAGCCCATAGACATCTAAAATGTAAATGCGCCACCCACCTTGAGATATAAGTTCTAAGGTCTCAAGTATAGTTACGACGGCTGCCCCACCCTTCAAACCCTTCAAACCGAAACGCATTACTGCTTCACGGCAGAAATAGGCGGGGTGGTGGTACCTACCCGTGCAGACTCATAAGAGGTCCTACCACCAGTGAAACAGTGAAACAGTTACATTGCAGGATGCTAACAGCAATAAAATACAGTCAATCCGCCATCCAACAAGCTGCCTACTACTTGCTGAAGCAGCCGCATATACAGGATCAAACGCAAGAGGACATATTCCTCGACGTGGACGACATCTGGCGGCGGCACGACGAAATACCCTCCAGGATCACGATTGCCTTGGACGTGGTGTCTCCTTCCAGGCGCCTCGTGCTGTACAACGCGCTGGCGTTCAGAAGACAAGAAATATTAACAGTGCTAGTGTCAACCCCGCACGTTGAAGTGAGTAACAAACCAATATCGGGTTATTAAAGATTATTTGGGTTAAGCGACATTTTTGCAAACTTAATGGAGAGCCATTTAAAGTTTAAAATTTGGAAAAAATATCATAACTTTAATTTTGGAAATTGGAAATTCAATTTGGAAAAATAATCTTCTTCGGCTATTTCAATAGAGTAAACTTAATTGAAACTCAATTAAAAACATCGAACCGTTGATGCTAATCACTACATAGTATAAAACAAAGTCGCTTTCTCTGTCCCTATATCCTTATGTATGTACGCAACGGATTTTGATGCGGTTTTTTTTTATTAGATAGAGTGATTGAAGAGAAAGGTTTATATGTATAATAACATCCATTAAATAGTGGAGAAATCAATAATAAATTACAGTTTCCGAAGCGAAGCGAGAGCGGGTCGCTAGTACGAAATAAAACGCACTTTTAAGTACAAAAATAAATGTCGCTTAAACCAAATAGCTTTTCACACCTCGATAAGTAGAGTGAAGCTTCATATAAAAGATTGTTAGAACAAAGATTACGGATAACAATATTATTATCTCTAAAAAGTCCTGCCAGAATACAAGTTTTTTTTTGTTTTTTAAATGGGTGAAATAGCTCTCCGTCCAAATGTGGTTACAGGAGTCCACAAATACCATCAAAATAAATGCCGCCACCCACCTTGAGACATGAGCTTTAAGTCTCCTTTTTCGACAGTGGCTGCCTCACGCTTCAAACTGGAACGCATTACTGTTTCGCGGCAGAAAACGTGTTATACAACCAAATGCGGGTACTTGAAAATCAATTATATTTTTAGGTTTTTGATCCAGAGGGTGAACCGATAATGGCACAAGTATCCCCCGTGGTCGCAGGGGAGAGGCGTCTGGGTCTCGCCAACAATAAGTACCAGCTGTCCTTCCCGGTCACCATCGGACCTCTCGCTTTAACCGTCTATTCGGTGTCACTGAGGGACGCGATGAGTATCAACAAGTGAGTTTGAATTTTTTTGAAGTGAAACTTCTAATTCGACTTCCAAAAAGGTTGCGTTAAACGTGTAACGCTATCATACTAGTAAGAGACAGAGCGAGAGTGAATGCGTGGCACTCGAACGCACGCGCGTAGTATACCTGTTACAGGCCAGCGCGAGTGTTAGCAACGAGTAGCGTCTTATATTTTTAAGAAGTATTTAAAAAAATATATATATTTATTTTTCTATCTATGTAATAATAATAATAAAGCCTTTATTCAGACAAATACATTTTTTTTTTACATATATAAGTGGTATTAATATTAATTAAATTTTTTATTTTTTTTTTAAGGCTTTTTTTTGCCTATGTTATTATTAGTTATTGTCTGTTTGTCTATTATAGACATAGGCCTCCTCCAATTGCCTCCATAAGCTTCTATTTTCAGCTGTTCTGGTCCATGTGCTTCCCGCAACTGCCTTAATGTCGTCCACCCATCTCCTAAATGGTCTACCTCGGTTTCTTTCTCGGTCTCTGTCTCTCTCTCTTTTCTATCTATAATTTAAAAAATATATAATATAAATATTGAGCATGTCGCATCTCTTATATCTCTTCTCTATTACAAGAGCAATCTGATTTAATAATGAAAAATGAAGAAAACCAAAAAAAGTTTCACCGCAAAAGAAGTTTCACTTCATTCACGTTCACCAAGTTGCACGTGCGGATTTTTTAATAATGTACAGACGAACTTCATACCATCTAGTTCCATAACGATTATTTGATCGCGTAGACAATACAATGAATGTTGGCTATCTTAGCCACATGTTGCATGGAGAGTGCTTCAAGGAATTGTTCCTTATTCCCATCGCAGTCTCCGCAACCGGAGAAGTGATCTCTGCGTTCACAGACTGTTCTTACTGAACATCCATGATCTTTCCAGCAGACTGGCAACGATTTTGCTCGGACACACGACAATGTTGATGTCTGCCAACCACAGCCACTATCTACCATTAGCCGGAATGTATACTCCTCTGCCTTCAAAGACGTTAATTAACACGCGCAACCCTCATCAAATCTTGAATTCAAATAACTAGACAACGGCTAACTAGACAACTAAACAGCGGCTTGGCTCTGCCCCTGGCATTGCTGACGTCCATGAGCGACGGTGACCACTTACCATCAGGTGGGCCGTATGCTCGTCTGCCTACAAAGGCAATAATAATAATAATAGACAAGCGAAGGTGTATTAATTTGCCAACAATTTTGTATCCACAGATACACGTCATTCTCTCACGTGCGCATATACAACGCGGACTACTGGAGCGTGGATCTACCGAAGATGTTCCCGATCGAGCAGCCGTCGGCGCGACTCAACGAGGACGTGAGCTTCCAGGCGGGGAACAGCACCAGGGTCGTCACCAACATGAACGGGCTCGTCAAAACCATTGTGTCGAGGGACGGGGTGGCCACTCCCGTGCACATGGACTTCGTGCAGTGAGTGTCGGCGGAGACAGAGAGAGAGAGAGATAGAGAGAGACAGAGAGAGTATTCTTTATTACGCTATAGATAAATAATATTAAAGACATACAATATTAATCTATTCACAATTTGACCACAGAATTTAAACAACAAAAAAGCTTTGACATTTGACAATAAACAAAGAGTATATTTATATGCATGTGTTGTGTCAAATATATGGGCATGTGTTTAATATTTTTTTATTGATTTTATGTATAATTTAAAAAAAAGGTTAGCGTTCTCCAACCCTTCTCTATAAGTGTGGAAATTTCACACTCCTCCGTCCGCGCATATTTCGTAAAAAGGGGTACAAAGTTTTTGCTGCACGTATTAAAATATAGATGCAGTCCCCATCCACCTTGAGACATGAGGTCGAAGCCTTCATTGTACAGTAAAAGGACTTCTCTACCCTCTAAACCGAAATGCATGTTTGCTTCGCGGTAGAAATAAGCGAGATGGTGACGTCTACCCATGCGGGCTTCCAACGCGTCACTCAACCAGTACAGTAAGTGATATCTAAATTGATTGACGTTTATTAACCTTTAGAGCGCGACCCGTCGATAGATCGACGCTCTGTTAATGCGTATCAAGTGAGGACCTTAGGATTATTAATTAGTTAATAATATTTATAAATAACCATTTCAAATTATTTTGCTGTGAATTTAGAGCATTGAATTAAGATTCTGTGTATGAAGATAATTTTCTTTTCAAAAATTCCTTAAGAATTTCTGTAAAATATGTGAAAATAAGCACAGCACTAAAATGATTCAGCTCACGACAACGGATTCTCTATATGACAATTAATTGTTACTTGTACTTTTATTTATTTATAAATATTTGTTTAAACCGTAATAATTCACTTTAAGTGTATACATTTTTTGTGATCATGGTCTTGTTGTGACAGAAGTGTGAAAGTAGCCTCGGTAATCAACAAAGCGGACGGTTAGCGTGGTATAGACATATTGTGATGCGTAGAGAGAAGATGCGTGTGACTAGGAGACGTATGGACTTTTTTTTTATCGCTTAGATGGGTGGACGAGCTCATAGCTCACCTGGTTGGTTAAGTGGTTACTGGAGCCCATAGACAACGTAAATGCGCCACCCACCTTGAGATATAAGTCCTAAGGTCTCAGTATAGTTACAACGGCTGCCCCACCCTTCAAACCGAAACGCATTACTGCTTCACGGCAGAAATAGACAGGGCGGTGGTACCTACCCGTGCGTACTCACAAGAGGTCCTACCACCAGTAATTACGCAAATTGTAATTTTGCAGGTTTGGTTTTTATTACACGATGTTATTCCTTCACCGTGAAAGTCGATCGTGAACATTTGTTGAGTACGTATTTCATTAGAAAAATTGGTACCCGCCTGCGGGATTCGAACACAGGTGTATCGCTCAACACGAATGCACCGGACTTCTTATCCCTTAGGCCACGACGACGATGGTAGTGCAAGGTAGAGGGGGAAGAGGTCGACCCAAGAAGACTTCGCTGAAGTGTGTGAATGACGATGTGAGAGAGAGAGGAATGAGTGTTGAGATGACGGGTGATAGAAGAGAATGGAAAAGAAAAATTAGCTGTGCCGACCCCACCTGGAGAAGGTGGAGAAAAAGAAAAAGAAGTTTTGTTGTGACTTCTCAATTTGCTGATGCTCTCACTGCAGGTACGACACGCAGAAGGGGCGGGACAACAACAGCGGAGCCTACCTGTTCATACCGAGCGGGCCCGCCAAGGACTTCAAGTCGGATCCGTACCCCGAGATCGTGGTCACCGAAGGCATACACAAGTCCACGCTCTACGCCGCCCTCGTCGGACCCAAAACCGCAGAAATTATACTCTCGGTAAATATAAAATTGCGAATATTTATTTATTTATAACTTTATTTACTAGACAGTATAAAGGCGGACTTAATGCCATAGGGCATTCTCTGACAGTCTAACTTAGGGGGGTGCAGAGATGAACCTTGGNTATGACAGACTAGGCTGTATAGGCTACGCTCTTTGCCTGCTTGTTGGCGAATTTAAAAACAACAACAACAATATCGTTGCCGGCTTCCGGATTTCATTTCATTTTATTATTATTATGAGGATATAATAATTATAAAATGTACGTAAGGGCTTATTTCTAGCAACATTAACCACAATTAACTTATTTAATACTGTAAATAATGATGAGAGCGATTATTGATTTCGAAGAAAACAATTAACAACTTAATTTTAGCTGCAGAAAAAAACAGATTTCTCTTAAACCTGGGTGAGAATATAAAAATCGTTTTCTGAATATGAAACGATATTTCTTTGTCTATCAAATTAAGTTAAAATCATCATCACCCGACAACTTTTTTTAGGGGCCCAAACGCCCATAGAAAATGGGCATTGTCCTTTCGAGTTAATCCGACGTTTTGAAGGGGGTCAAAATCATGTTTAAAGATTCCGTTGCATATTAACATACATACGTCTGAAGCTAGTAAAAGCGTATTAAAAAGTGAGTGCCATATAGTGCGTTTCGCTCTGCAGGTGACGGTGTACAACAACCCGTCGTTGCCGCACGCCGAGCTGGAGGTCAGCAGCGCGCTGCTCATCGACCCGCAGGTGGACGATTTGGAGCTGGCGCTGCGGCTGTCCACAAGCGTCCGGAACGGAGACGTCTTCTATACAGACTTAAATGGGATGCAGGTTTGTAGAACGACTGCATAAACCTTTTCAGAGGGTTCTAGTGACGGTGTAACATATTGTTACGCGCTGGGGTTCGGGATAAATAAAATTTCGCCAAAGTACAAGTAAAAACTGTATTGAACACTTAGAACACTTAAAACACTTTAAAACTCTCAATTCGCTTCTTCCGCTTCGCTTCAGGTGATCCGTTCGGTGTTTCGCTTCGAGTAATTCCGATCCCCTACAACGCTTTTATAGTCGATACCACATCCCTAGAATTATCGAGAATGTTCCATCTACATTACATCTCTAGTATTGTGTTTCCGCTATCTAACAATAGATGGTGTTGTACTTGTCGAGCGTTCTAGGTGCTACTGGATCCTTCGATATTCGTTCGGCTATTCGACGATATATGGCGTTACTCTTACCAGCGTAACAATATTGTAAGGCCACACGCATACTTACAGCTCATTTCTGTCGCAAAACAGTCGGGCGTTTCGCATTGAACGGTGGCACAGTCTGTTTAGGTTTAATTTTCGATTGTCTCAATTTAAATTATTAGAATTGAGGCTATTCTGTATAACTTTTCGGCTTATATGAGTTGATGCTATTCTATATGACTTTTCGGTTTAACGAGTTTGTGTAGTAAACTGAAACCTCAAGGCTATATAATGTTTCTTGACAGATGATAAAACGTCGTTACTTCGAGAAGATTCCGCTGCAGGCGAATTTCTACCCGCTGCCCGCCGCCGCCTACATCGAGGACGAGAACATCAGGTTCACGGTGCTCACTTCCACTCCGTTAGGAATGGCCGCCTTACAGCCGGGACAAATTGAGGTAACCGAAATATTTCAATCTATACTGATATATAAATCTACAGTGGCTTTTACGGATGTTCCGTTATAACTACTGAACCATGCATCCGATTGACTTGAAACTTGGTATCTATATAGAAAATACATGTACTTAATGAATAGGCTAATATTTATATGAGTGTTGGACTCCCTATACCAGTTGCGGGGGTGTTAATGATGAGAATCTTTTGTGCGGGTGAGAAATAATAATGTTAATTTTAAATGACCAGCGAAGCGGACGAGTACGGCTAGTTACTTTATAAGTCTATGGCATTGATTTCATTTATCTTCCCACTAAACGCTTCACTTTCCCCCCTTTGCCTTTTCACGAGTTCTGTCTCATGCGAGGTTTGGACGTTGGTTGTTGAGCGACAGGAGGTTTTAGTCGGTTCGACTCCGGCATGCTCCGCCCACCATCCCCAGTGGAGGGCGAAGTCCGGCGATTTCCTCATGACACAAAAAAAACCTAATCGTTGGTAGCCTAAGGGGCTATTCCAACTACGCTGTGGCTGCGAGGTGAGCTCACGAGCTCAAACTCAGAGAATTGCTAATACTGACCCTAACAAGAGCAGTGCTTCGTTAAATCTACTACTGGAAGAATTTCGATCATCCATCAAGCATTACAATAAATAATTACTCTATATTGTATTCATTTTCTGTAAATATTGTATATTGAGTTGAATAACTCCAAAAAAATTATTTCGTTACGTACATGACACCTCAAGACTTATTTTCATTTTATTATACAGTAATAACGATTCATTGAGTTTACTTAGTTAAAAAAAGAAATATTTTCAAAGAATACAGAAGGGACAATAGTACTAAACTGCTTTGTAATTGTAACTAAAATTGTTTGTGCAGGTGATGCAAGACAGGCGCCTGAGCAGAGACGACAACCGAGGCATGAACCAAGGCGTGCTGGACAACGTGAGGACGCGCCACACATTCAGGCTCATAGCGGAGCCGGCCCTCGGGCACTGCGCCGTGAGTCAATGGACTTTCCTTCAATCTCAATTTCTTTCTTTAGGGACATCTGTCCACATCGTCTCTCCACACTGTCGAATCTCAGGATTCTCGAATTTGCGTAATTCCTGGTGGTAGGACCTCTTGTGAGTCCGCGCGGGTAGGTACCCCCACCCAGCCTATTTCTGCCGTGAAGTAGTAATGCGTTTGGGTTTGAAGGGTGGGGCAGCCATTGTAACTACACTTGAGACCTTAGAACTTATATCTCAAGGTGGATAGCGCATTTACGTTGTAGATGTCTATGGGCTCTAGTAACCACCTAACACCAGGTGGGCTGTGAGCTCGTCGAAACATCTAAGCAAAAAAAAGCGTACCCATGCAGCGAAGCCGTGCTTTACCGCTGCTTCTTTAGTCGTTTGTACAGGCTCGCTTGTACAGTCAAGCAAAATGCAATTTTTTTCAGCTTACCAATCATAGTCGGCTTAAAAACATTCACAATACAAATAATAATACATACAGTGTACATTTTAAGTAAATTTTTCAAAATAAAATTTCGTATGATGTAAAACTTATTAAATAATATATAATTGTTTTTCAATTCGATAAACAAATAACATGTCGTGTGAACAAAAATTGTGGCCTACTTGACAAATAATTCTATATTTACAGAAGCCGCCGTCTGATCACCCGAGCGGGTGGCTGACGCTGGGTAGTCACGTGTCGCAGCAGATGCTCCTGCAGCCGCCGCTCGTGCTGCACTACACGCCGCGCGGCGACGAGCCCCGCCCCAACTACCAGAAGGCCTCCGTCAACGCCGCCGACATCGTGCTGGCCTCCTACAGAACCCACACCACCACTAAGGTCAATGACTAATTAGAAAACTCTGCGACTTTATGACGGATACGCGAGGAGTGAAGTTTTTTGTTGTTGCTTAGATGGGTGAACGAGCTCACAGCCCACCTGGTGTTATGTGACTACCACCAGTAATTTCGCAAATTATAATTTTGCGGGTTTCATTTTTATTACACGATGTTATTCCTTCACCGTGGAAGTCTATCGTGAACATTTGTTAAGTACGTATTTCATTAGAAAAATTGGTACCCGCCAGCGGGATTCGAACACCGGTGCATCGCTTCAACACGAATGCACCGGACGTCTTATCCTTTAGGCCACGACGACTTCAAACGTTGTTCAAACGACACAAACGTGAGTAGTGACGTTCGCGATGTTGATACTTACCGGCTCGGATAATATTATTTACGAACTACGTACTAGAAAATCATCGAGAATATATTTAACCTTGCATGTATAGCTAAATCGAGGATTAATGCTTACAGAAGGAAGGCACGAATTTACACGGGATGGGGCTGACGTTCCAAAGGGTAGCCCTCGACACGTGCTACGGTCACAAGGACACCGTCGAAGCGTATCCGCTAAGTGACGGACAGGTCAGTCGTTAGTAAAAAAAAATTACTACCACAGAGTAGACATTTTTATTTACATTAATTCCGGCCAGCGGTTGGAAGACCTTTTAGCCGATTTTAGTTTAATGAATATTTGATCTCCGTATATCCTTGAAATGGTAATTTCGGGAAACTTCGAGATTTTAAACTTAACACTCAAGGGTAAATAGGTCATCGCATATATGAAGTTAAAATCTGAACAAGCGCAAAATTAGAAAATGAAAAGTGACACATGAACACTTACATGATAAAAGAGTGACTTTGATACTAATTATAATGCGAAAGTGAGTTGTTTGTTTGTTTGTCACGTTTTGGCTATTCACACATGCTTAGGGTTTACAGTAAGGCACAAACGTTACTTTTCATCTAGAAAAAAAAACAGCAATCTTTTTTTACATAATGCAAGCTGAACGTCTTTAGCTTAATTAGTCTAATTAAGCTAAACTCACAAATTTTCTTATATATGCGATTAAGGAAGTCATGTCACGAACTGAAACACGTGTATCTCTGCCGTAAAAATAAAATCATGCGTTATGATGATGATATGATACCGGCACCTGTTTTTACCATCGCACCGCCCGCCACCAGAGTAGAGTTCATCCATACTACTTGAAGCCACTGCGTTCATCCACAGTGCGTTTACAGAGGTCTTTTTTAGCACGTTCCATCCGGCTATAGAATGAGCTCCCCTTCACAGTGTTTCCCGAGCGCTATGACATGTCCTTCTTCAAACGAGGCTTGTGGAGAGTATTAAGCGGTAGGCACCGACTTCGCTCTGCCCCTAGCATTGATGAAGTCCATGGGCGACGGTAACTACTCACCATCAGGTGGGCCGTATGCTCATCTGCCTACAAGGGCAATAAAAAAAATGAATATTCATATCATTTTCATTTGTTCAATTCCATCTTTCCATCAAGTGAGAGTGAAGTGTGCTAGATTGAAGCGCAGTGTGGCAGTTTATTGGGCTGTTTTTTAAATCTTTCTACTTGCTACTATGATTTTTGACCTTAATTGGACAATTTCAGAGGACAGTTTTTAAAACACTGAGATATTTTACCCTCCATAGAAATTTCTAGAAATGTTATTCATAATACAAGATTTCTTTTTTTTTGTCCACAGTTCCGTCTGTCAGATTTGATAGACGTGAAATCAGATCGTGTTTACGAAAGCACGTTGACTTTCAATCAGATAGACAAGCAAGTGTTAGACGGAATCATCACGCTGTGCCCCATGGAGATCCGGTCCGTGTTCGTCAATCAAACTATAAGGAACGGATGAAATTAAATAACATTTAGTGTAATAATTATGTTAATACTTTTGTTGGTACTTTATTATATCGACGGGTGAAAGGCTTATGCGACATTTGATTGCAATGTTTATAATTTAAGTTTACAGGAGAGCCATTTAGAGGTTGAAATTTAGAAAAAATATCATAACAAATTAATTCTTCAGCTATTTGAATGGGATTGGCTTAATTAAATTTCAATTGAAACATCGAACTATTGATGTTAATCTATACATATAAATAAAATTAGAGTGTCTGTTTGTAGTATTGAAATAACCGCTTTTTACTACACCCATATGAATATATACGGTACATACACCAAAACATTTTTTACAATTTTTGTCTGTCTCTCTGTCTGTTTGTTCCGGCTAATCTCTGTAACGGCTGGACCGATTTTGATGAGACTTTCACTAATAGGTAGTTGATATGATATAAGGAGTAACTTAGGCTACTTTTTTTAGACTAGCTTCGCCCCGCGGCGTCACCCGCAGTTATTGTCGTACCGCGCGCAACATGCCGGGCTTCGCCTATCAATAATAAAATTTAATGTTTCCGAAGCGAAGCGAGGGCGGGTCGCTAGTACCAAATAAAACAGGCCTTTAATTACAAAAGTAAATGTCGCGTATTAAACGAAATGTCGCTTTAACCAAATAGCCGTTCACTCCTCGATATAATAATGGGGAATGCGCTTGTGACTACGATTTGTGTACCAGACGATCCTTCGAGAGTTCTTTGATTGTTTCACATGGTCGGTTATGCTCAGTCTCATTAGAAAATATTAAATACATTGGCCAATTTATGCGTGTAGATAAGCTCGCGTTTACCAAATCTGTGCCATAGATTACACACAAACAGTGCTGCCATCTTCGTTGTTTTTACCGCATTATTAGGGGAAAAGTGAAAAGTGCGTTTTGTAACATTCCGAGGAGGCGACTCAAACAGTAATATTTTTTAACCAAATATGTGTCCAAACTCAATTTTATTTATTTATAATAAATATATTAACGTCAGTCGTACAAAAAGCTGTCAAAATTGAACAGGTAATACAACAACTGTGGTAAAATTCCACTGTTTTTGATAGATGCAAACGTTGCAATGTCATGAGGTACCAAAGGGGAATGCCCACTCTCCATAGTGTGCTAGGCCCAAGGTGGACATCAAATATTACTATAAAAATGGACTGATTCAAATTCTTAAATGTATTAGATATGTAAAAAATATATTGAAATTGACGCCACTATTATAAAAAATATAATAAAAATAGAAAACTCGTTTTGAGGTTAATTTTCTATATAAATACCTCAAGAATTTTTCTTTTTTTAATGTTTAAGATGTTCCTAATGTATTTTTATGCAGTTGTAGTTATTAGGGTATAAAAAACACACATACTTCTTTAAATATCTATATTTTCTTCTTCACACAATTAGTAAATCATCTAAAAATAGCACAGGAGAGCATATACACGGTTTTAAATCTCGGTCAGGTTAAAACCACAATTCACACAATGGTTTTCAGCCGTAGTATGAAACGTTATTGATAAAAGCAAAATAGATCGAAGAAAAATCAAAACACATCCATTTTGAACGCAAGCACAAGCAGCAAACGAAGTGTCAGTCAGTCAGATTAAAATCAGTGTTGTCAGTATAAAGAAAAATAATGACATGAAATTCATATATCGATCATTTTTTTAAATAACCGATAATTGATTTATTTCTTAATCTTTTTTTTACGAGTACGCATTATATTTTATTTTTTATGTTTTTGTTTTAGTTGTACATATTTAAATAACAATACAAGTTAAGTTTTTTTTTTATTGCTTAGATGGGTGGACGATCTCACAGCCACCCTGGTGTTAAGTGGTTACTGGAGCCCACAAACATCTACAACGTAAATGCGCCACCCACCTTGAGATATAAGTTCTAAGGTCTCAAGTATAGTAACAAGTTAAAGTCCCATGGGTATGTCTTTGATGTTATTTTATGTGCTTAAAATCGATTAAAATCGATTGATTAATGATAATATTTAAAATGATTTATTTATATGTTTTTTTATATACTTAAAATGTTTACTTAATACGTAAAAGGTTTTGATGCTGGCAATACTTTTTTCCCGCAAAAATAAAATTCTTGTTTTTTTCAATAGAGTTACTTTTTTTAAACTACTTATTGTAAACTGTAGTGGCGCTTATTTGGAAGAAAGTAAATGCATATTTATTTATGACAAAATTAATGCACTAAGTATTTTTTCTCTAATATATTGTCCGCTTTGGGCCTGAAATGGGCCGTCCCCTTTGTTAACACAAAAAATTTGCATGACTGCATTTACATAGTTGAAACCATATCTGACCCGAAACATGTCTTGTCGAATACCCTGGATCCACTCTCGGTGCTTTTAGGTCATCACACCATAGGACAGGTTGAAAAAAAAAAACGAAATAATAATGGACTGGTCATAGAAGTCAAATGTTGCTGATTGCTCGTTCAATAATTTGAAAGTATCTTCTATTTATAGTTTATATTTAAAATGCATTAAGCAATGTAGCTTCAGAGGAGAAACCGCAGGCCGGTGTGTGAACAGCGTTGCAATCATAATGTTCACAAATGCTCAGTTTTGTAGCTACTGTTGTATTTGTATCTTAAATGCGGTGTTACATTCACAATAAACCAGTAGAGCTGTTTAAAAGTCACTATCCATCACACTTAAGAATACAAAATAACGTGATATTATTGAAATGGCAAGTTTTAAACTAGTAAGCGAATAATATTGTATTATTAGGAGGGCTCTTTAGCTTGTTAAAAAAATTGCTGGAAGATACGCTTTTCTCAAAATTACTTTGTTTGATGTGTTGCCAAAAACCTCGTAGTGTCGCTTATGAAAAAAAAATCAGCTACACATAATCTTTATGGAATATATACTACGGGGTAGTCCAACACGCAATTGGCTGCATTTGTGTGTATTGTATTGGCAGAAATTGACGAGACTGGTATAATTGACGTATCATTTGCACACAGAGCGCCAGAGTTCGAATTAAACAATCGCCAATAATATTAATGTCTTATAATTTTGAAACGCAAAAATATGTTTGTTATTAAATTTTTAAATTTTAACAATTCGAATTGTGGATTTTCGTTTTTATATGTGGGTAGATTTAAAAAAAAACTTTTGCAAACTCTTTGTTGTCGAGATGTTATTTTTAAGCTTAAAAAAGAGCATGATGAAAATTTATAAAATAAAAAATATTGACCAATTCCCGAAGGCACGTAACAAGTGACATTAATAATTATTGCAAGCAAATAAACTCAATAATAAGTTTATGTAAGCGTTACAAGTACTTTCATTAAGCACAACACATAACAGCTAACTTTCTTTAGATATCAAGTTCATCCGCATCCTTGTTCCTAATGTTTCAACTTAGGATTAGTGTGTTAATTTTCGAGTAATAAAAATACTAATGTTTTTAAATGAGTGATTCAAATCGTGTAAATATTGTACAATTTGACTGATCCCTTGGCGCATTAGTTAACGCTCCTAATTGCTGTGTCGTGGGTTCTATTCCCGCTTCAGGCCAGCATTAATGTGATAGACATGTTTATTATCTTAATATGTATATGTGTTTCTGGTTCCCACGGTACAGGGAGGCTAGGGGCCAGTTGACCTTCTGTGATCTGTCCCCCGATTATTTATTTACATATTATAATATACATGTCGTAATTATTATATAAATAAATTTTATAAATTATGTTGCATTTATTTAGCGTGAATTGAATAAAATTTATGGATTTTATTAATTTGACCCCATTTATGTATGCCATTAATGTCTATGTAATGTGTGTAAATTAGTTAAATTTAAACTAACATAAAACTAAACAAAAAACAAAAATATTGCCATTGCCAAAATAAAAATATTTGCTGATTGGTAATTAATAATTTATTAATAAAATATTAATTTCATATCTACCTATGAGATTAATAGCATTTTGTCTAATAGTTTTTTCTATAGTGTTTAGCTTAATGCAGAGAACTTACGATAATCGTAAAACAATCCTTTTATATGATATATGTATTTGAAGCCGTTAAAAAACAAAAGCACTTGTATAGTTAAAGAAATGTAAATAAAGAAATATACAAATTTTGCATGTGTTTTGTACTTCAATTGTATTTATATATTATAATACCAAAAATATTAAATATCAAGATATTCTGGTAGATAATATGTAATTATTTTTAGACACTACAAATATCTTATAGGAGATAAATAAGTTTGAACTTCAGTTCCAAAGCTGAAATCAAAATAATCTTATTCATCTATAATGTAATGCTAGAAAACATTGTAATATCAACAACGTTGATGATGATGTTTGTTTCAGGAACACAAAATCTAAATTTTACATTCTATCCTCGTAAGAGTTGTGTCGATGCTTCTCTTACTTAGAAAACTCATTATACTCCCACAGTAATCTCAGCTTCAGTAGATAGAAAGTGCATCATTCGACACAGTTCACGTCTACTGATGTTGCCAACATTTCGATTACTAGATTGTAGATATTAAACAAGATTGCAGATAATCAAGATAGGAATGATTCGCCGATTTTGATTGTAAAATTTTCCATACAGGAATATGACATCCAGTGAATGATTCGTTCGAGACATATATGGTATACAGACGCCAATCTTGAATATCGTTTAAATAATTCAAAAAAACAAAAAAAAATGTAATGTATCGACATTCTGCACAACGGATAAAATAATAGTCGGACACATTTTTATAATCATTTTATTCAGTAATAAAACCATTAACGAAACCCTTAAAATAATTACTGGTGAACATAAATCAACACGAATTAAATTCATTGTTTTAAATATTTACAAATAAAAATACTATTTACAATACTGATGTTATAACAACAAAAAACAATTAACAAAAACAAGAAAAACGTATCTTATTATTTTCATTTGAATTGACGTACGTTATTTAGATACATAATAACATGAGCATCGCATTTTAATGCATTCTTTTATATTTGTTATTAAGTTACTCAACCTAAATATTGAAGAAAACATTAATTAGTGGAATGTATTGCAAATAACGATACTAAAAACACTTTGTACATGTTCAAACAAAGAATACTGATTGCAAAGTGAAAGCATTAAAAAACTAATAAAGCTTTAACACTTGTTTCTTTGACTTTCGTTTCATCTGGCAACAACTCTCAATGGCAAGCGGATCATACGATTTTAAGCAGGTACTTAAAAACTATAATCAAGGAGTAAGAGTAAAATTTCATTATTATGTTATTTATTATATATTTTTTTAGTCAATAACCCTGGAGGCTGACTAGATTTTTAATAACACTGCAAATAGTATTACTGTACCGTATAAGTACTGAATAAATTGATTGGTTTTTGTGGTAGCAATTAGAATTTTGTGAATTAGTCATATAACTTGCAATTTTTAAAATTGTTTGCATTCACGATTGTCAAATTTCATTGTTAAACAATCAACTAACCTAAATATTTTTACTGACATACTGTTTCCAAATACCGAAATAGACTAAAGAAACCATTAATCCATTAATCTACTTTCAAACAATAAATACAGATTTGTAATTGAAAAAAAAAAAAACAAAATGCCTAGTATAACGAGTGTCCCTTTTGGCCATGACAACTTAATTATTTAATTTATATGGTAAAAAATAAAATGGATGACAAGATTTGTTTGTGGATGATTGATTTGAATTCGCAATTTTTCGCTTTTTAACGATATTCACAAACGTTTGATTTTTTTTTTTTTACTGCTTAGATGGGTGGACGAGCTCACAGCCCACCTGGTGTTAAGTGGTTACTGGAGCCCATAGACATCTACAATGTAAATGCGCCACCCACCTTGAGATATAAGTTCTAAAGTCTTAGTATAGTTACAGCGGCTACCCCACCCTTCAAACCGAAACGCATTACTGCTTCACGGCAGAAATAGGCGGGGTGGTGGTACCTACCCGTGCGGACTCACAAGAGGTCCTACCACCAGTGTAATCGATTACAAAGAATCGCGAATATCGGCAAAGTGAAACTTGAATACTTCACAGTCTAGACGAGGTTCTCTGGTCTAATATCACAGTGTTGTTTCTGCTCCAGTCCACGTTAAAACGCGGAGTGACTAAACTTAAAAGGACGTGGTACTCGTTCATTTTGTCCGGCACCACGGTGTACGTTTCGTCTGCATCTCTGAAAAAGAACAAATGAAGGAAGCTATAGTAGTTAACTTCGGGCTCATTCACCGATGAGGTTGTGTTAGGTACATATTTACTTATAAAAATCGAAGACCGGTAAGTATATTTTCAAATTATACGTTTTTACATATAAAAAAATAAATAAATAAAATATAAATATAAAATATATATTTTTAAAAAGTATGTATACAAGTCTATAGCATTGTTGCCGGTTGTTTAATATTTATTTACTCGACAGCAGGCATCTTACTCATCAAATAAATAACGAGTCTTCGAAACATAAGTCTTATTTTCTTTTTATGGCTTAGATGGGTGGACGAGCTCACAGCCCACCTGGCGTTAAGTGGTTACTGGAGCCCATAGACATCTACAACGTAAATGCGCCACACACTTTGATATATAAATTCTAAGATCTCAGTATAGTTAGTCTCTTGTGAGTCCGCACGGGTAGGTACCACCACCCTGCCCATTTCTGCCGTGTAGCAGTAATGCGTTTCGGTTTGAAGGGTGGGGCAGCCGTTGTAACTATACTTGAGACCTTGGAACTTATATCTCAATGTAGGTGGCGGCATTTACGTTGTAAATGTCTATGGGCTCCAGTACCCACTGAACACCAGGTGGGCTGTGGGCTCGTCCATCCATCTAAGCAATAAAAATAAGGGTTCACTTTTGTTTGTGCAGCGCTCCGACCGCGAGCAGCCCGCGCAGACAGCCGGCCGCGGCCTCCAGACTGAGGCAGTACGGGTGGCAGCGCTGGGACTCCACCCGCTGCTGTATCAGCTTCAGCGCTACTTTGTGTGTGCAGGTCGTTTGCTGGAGGACAAAAAAAACAAATATAGCGTTAGAAAAAAAAATCAAATAAATCTATAACTGTCAATGTTTTCAATTATAAAGCAGACAATTATACGACTCACTAGTGAGTGGAGACTGGCCTTGCCAGGTAATTCAGAAGCCTGAACAAGCTTTTTAAAGAACTCGTCAAAAAATAAACAATACTTTAAAAAAACTAACAAATTATGCTTTTATAGAAAATCCAACTAAAAAATAGAAAATAAAATTTAATAAATTTTAATTAAAAATAGTATAAGAAAAAATGATTTTATTGTAAAAAAAGCGTGGGTTGCTTTTCAGGATATTATCAAAATAACTCTTCTACTCATATCTGTTGGGGGGGACATCAAAGTGAAACCAATTGTTATTTTTAAGTAATTCCGAGCATTTTCATATTTATCTACCTTTTAAACCTTCTCTGGACTTCCACAAATAATTCAAGACCAAAATTAGCCAAATCGGTCCAGTCATTCTCGAGTTTTTGTGAAACTAACGAACAGCAATTCATTTTTATATATATAGATAGATAGATTATTTCATGATCAATATTTAATTAATGTTTACCTCCGTCATAATTTCAGCGCATTTAATGGCGACGGTGAGCGCCGGCCACGCGGACCACTTCAGCAACCTCTGCAACTTCTCATCCGACCCGCAACTGTATTTGTCCCCGTTGAAGATCAGGATGTCGTTTGCCGTGCAGTACTCTATTGCTTCTTTTAAAATCTAGAACAATAATTACGTGTGACTTAGTAAGGCGTGGGTTGGACCGAGTTCACGGCTCGCATACTGTTCCCGGTGGTTACAGACAACAAACACATGTGCATACATACAGGGTGTGAGGAGACCACTTACGAAAACGAAAATGTTGTACCTACAAAGTTGTAAATTATGGGGAGTGCGGTATCAGCGCCGCGCCCGGGCGTTCGTTGACCCGAGCATCAGCTGTTTTGGATTTTGTGCACTGCTGGTTTGTTTTTTAAGTACAGTAATGTATCTATACTAATATATAAATCTACAGTGGTAATTACGGATGTTCCGTTATAACTACTGAACCATGCATCCGATGGACTTGAAACTTCGCATCCATGTAGAAAATACATGTACTTAATTGATAGGCTAATATTTATATGAGTGTTGGACTCCGTAATAATAATGACAATAATAATGTTCATTTTAAATGCCCAGCGAAGCGGGCGAATACATACAGGCTAGTTTCCTATGAAACTATAATATCGATATTTTTCCGTCCTATCATTTTTTTTCCTACCTATTCTAGTAACCTCGAGGGGTCATTCTAGATTCGCCGAGCTAGTAGGTGAGCTTAGGGGGCTCAAACCTGACGACGTTGCTAACACGAACCCCAGCAAGAGCCGTGCTTCGCAGAACCTACCACCGAATCGGAAGCGCGACCCACTAAGAAGATCCAGCGAGAAACTCAGTGAGCTGTGTCTGTGGGTTAGTTTCCTCGCTGAGCCCTTCGTCGCTAGCGGCGGGTTCGACGAGAACGATGTCCGGTGCTTGGGGTACCTAAAAGCACCGTTAGTGGATCGGGCGGATCCGAGATGACGTGTTTTGGGCGACGTCGACTGCTTTCCATTCGTTCCGCAGAGGATCGAGAATGCGTCCTATCATCAAAGGTGTCATTAGTACTATCGTCTGTCTTCGTTTTCGGAAGCGGTCTCCTAACATCCAGTATACCAATACATATTAAGGAGGGTGGAGGTAAGTAGTATCATCTTGTATAGGAGGTAAGTTGAAAAATGTCCATCTGTAAACAGCAAGTTATTGTTAGAAGATTCACTGAAATAGCGCTAGTGTAGAAAATGATATAAATATAGCAGCTTTAAGCAGAGTGAAGTGTTGTAGCTTATGGAATTGTTTTTAGAATCTTTCCACTTGCTATTGTGGCGCCATCTTAATTAGACACCTAATACACTAAGATGGTGCTCTTTACTTCTACCCTCCATAATATATAATTCGTCTCCTTTGTTTCAAGAAAGTCAAAGTATCAAGAAAAACATACCTTTTTTTCATTTTTTTCTACGTAAAAATATTCGTTCCGAAAGAGTCTCCTGAGGCGATTGTAATCTGTTACCAACATATCTGCGAAAAATTTAGGTTTGTAAATAACCCAAGCGTAGCGTTCATTATTATGTTATTACTGATGTTTTTTTTTTATTTATTTTTTATTGCTTTCCTTTCTCTCTCATATCCTCATTCACACACTCCTCCATGTCTTCTTTGGTCGACCTCTTCTCCCTCTACCTTGCACTACCATTTCCATACATTTTTATTTTTTATTTTTATTGCTTAGATCGGTGGACGAACTCACAGCCCACCTGGTGTTAAGTGGTTACTGGAGCCCATAGACATCTACAACGTAAATGCGCCACCCACCTTGAGATATAAGTTCTAAGGTCTCAATTATAGTTACGACGGCACAGTTAAGACACAGTTTTAAAATTATGTCGAGAACTCAAACGCTTTGAAAACAACAGTTATCCCATACTTAGATTCAGTTTCAACATCAACTAATTCAACTCGGGTGTCACTTAAGACTTATTACACAAATGCGTTCGAAGCACTTACAATGAGAAGTCGAACTGTAACCTTCTTTTATTGCTTACATGGATGTACGTGCTCACGACCTAAGTGTTACTCAAGTGGTAACCGGAGCCCATGGACATCAACGATATTAATGCCGCCACACAACCTGAGACATGAATTGTAAGTGTCAGTTCTATAGTAAAACGGCTGCCCCACCCTTGAAACTGAAACGCATTAATATTTCGCGGCAGAAATAGACAGGGTGGTTGTGCCTACTCGTGCGAGCTCAAAAGACATCCTAGTATCATAAAACTAAACAGTGCGCGTGCAACTTGGTGCACGTGAATGAAGTGAAACTTCTTTTTCGATGTGTGTAGTGTTGTGGTTTTCTTCATTTTTCATCCTTAAATCAGATTGCTCTTGTAATAGAGAATGCTGTGTATGAGAGATGCGACATCTTATATATATATTTTTAATTTTTTTTTTTTTTTTTTTTTAATTTTTTTTTTTTTTTTTTTTTTTTTTTTTTTATTGCTTAGATGGGCGGACGAGCTCNGAAACGCATTACTGCTTCACGGCGGAAATAGGCGGGGTGGTGGTACCTACCCGTGCGGACTCCCAAGAGGTCCTAAATACTAATTTAAAATACTTCATTAAAAAAATTGGACCTTACTCGTTGCTAACGCTCGCGCTCGCCTGTAACAGGTATACTACGCGCATGCGTTCGAGTGCCACGCATTCACTCTCGCTCTGTCTCTTTCTATTCCATGGTATTGTTATACGTTTAACGCAACCTTGTTGGAAGTCGCATTAGAAGTTTCACTTCAAAAACTGGATCCTATGAACATTTGATATTTTACCTCTGTCTACCCCTCTAGAGGCGATGAGGTACACCAGAGCCGGTGGAAACAGATAGTGCATTACTGGGTTGACGTAGAGTTGCAGCTGTATCACCGGTATGGCCAGGGCCATGGTGTCGGCTTCCAGAGTGTGTCCTGCAATATTATGATACGTTAGTAAAATCAGTCAATCAAAAAAAAAGCATCAGTTTTCGCTTAATCATATGGTTTTGCGTTTACTTATATTTACAACTAGCTGACCCGGCAGGCTTCGTAGTGCCTCAATAGATAAATAAAAGACCTAAACTTTAATTAATTCCGAGTATTTTCATATTTCTCTACCTTTTAAACCTTCTCTGGACTTCCACAAATAATTCAAGACCAAAATTAGCCAAATCGGTCCAGCCGTTCTCGAGTTTTGGCGAGACTAACGAACAGCAATTCATTTTTATATATATAGATAGATAGATAAATAAATTAGATGGTAGTCGGTACATTATAATTTTTTTTTCATACCTATTTGCTGGTTGCCTATGAGACAATTGAAGTTACGCTGCTAGGTGAGCTCAGGAGGCTCAATCAGAGAGAATTGCTGACACTAACAAGAGCAGTACTTCGCTGAATGTACCACTGAATTTGCCCCCGGATCGGATCACAGAAAAAAATCCGGCGAGTAAGTCAGTGGGTTATGTCTATGGGTTAGTGTTGTGCTAGGACAGTGACCGATGCTTGAAGAGGAGGACATTCAAATGTCGATAAATAAAACCTAAGACGTTCGCGACCACGGAAACTGTTGAATATTCGAAATGTCACAAATTCGACCGTCAGTGTAATTTTAATTAGGTAATTAAGTTGATATTTTATTGTTGAATACTCGAGTTTTTGTCTAATTGCGAGTATAATAATATGACCATCATAATAGCTTCTGATTCAACAGGAAAATTGCCAAAATTCTTGTTATATCAGTTTTATTATTATTATTTATTAACAGCTGCCAGATTAAAACGGGTTTACGTTGTCTCTAACGTCCTATTTGAGTAGAAGCAAAAATCAAAAGATTAGTAATCTATACATATAAATAAAATTGGAGTATCTGTTTGTAACATTGAAATAACCGCTGTTTACTACATGCATATGAATATATATACGGTACATACACCAAAATAACATTTTTTACAATTTTTGTCTGTCTATCTGTCTGTCTGTTTGTTTGTTCCAGCTAATTTCTGGAACGGCTGGACCGATTTTGACGAAACATTCACTGATAGCTGATGATATAAGAAGTAACTTAGGCTACTTTTTTCAGACTAGCTTCGACCTGTGGTACGACAATAACCTCGCGGGACTATAATCTAGCTATCAATAATAAAATTACATGTTACTGAAGCGAAGCGAGGGTGGGGCGCTAGTAAAAAATAAAAATAAAACATATTATAAAAATAATAATATATAAACGCGTAAACACGTTTTGAAAAATGAAGCGGCTAAATAAACACACACTATTTAATCTAATCTATTGCATAAGCCCGACTTTTATCTGACCACCTAATACGAAGTTTTTAGAATTATCGTACATCGACAGAGATCGTAGGAAAATCAACTTTCTTACTACTGTTGATAACACCTATCATTTTTATGACATCATTATCTAATATGTATTGTGATTATTCATTTCGCCGAATATGCCGATTATTCATTTTTAAACTCTAATAAGGATGGGTTTTGTTCGAGTCGTTTTTGTACAGTGCATAGACTCATGGTCTCGACGTAGAAAGTCGCCATTGCGCTTAAGTACTTCGCGGGTGAAATAAGACGGAATGGCGGTCCGGAACTGGTACCTGAGGGCTTAAAATACACACTCTTACCACAAGAAAACATAAATATAGAGAGTTTGATTTTTAATATACGCCATAATTCATTGATTGTTAAAGCCATTAGTGATAACGTGTTAAGTACGTATTTTATTAGAAAAATTGATGACTCTGCGGGATTCGAACACCGGCACTATTGCATCGCTCGACACGAGTCCACCAAGCGTTTTATCTTTTAGGCCACGACTGTTTTAAGGTGTGGTTCTCGTGAATTACTGGCATATATTTTAAAGTATCTGGAGTATGACATGAAATTGACTACTTAATTCCTTTAAAACACGCCACGGCATTCCTGTTTTCTTTAGCCATTACATCTTTTTGCAATTTTTTTCGGAACAATAAAATGTATTCTCTAACGCAAATAGATATCGGATTTAGAGATATAATTTATACAAACTTAAAAGAAATACAAGATGGAGTCTGTGTCCGTGATAACTGTATTAATTTTAGATAAATTATTTTCAATTTTATCACGATAATGACTGCCAAGGTTAGTCGCAATTCAAAACGCTAAAGATGGAAAGTTGAAATCGTGACGCTAGAATTGTTTTGACAGCCTGTGTATCTATACTAATATATAAATCTACAGTGGTTTTTACGAATGTTCCGTTATAACTACTGAACCATGCATTCGATTGACTTGAAACTTGGTATCCATGTAGAAAATACATGTACTTAATTGATAGGCTAATATTTATATGAGCGTTGGACTCCCTAATAAAAATGACAATAAATAATAATGTTAATTTTAAATGCCCAGCGAAGCGGGCGAGTACGGTATAATGTTGCTAAAAAAAAATTGACTGCGCTCTATTTATAGTTGAAATTAAAATACATAACTTCCTTATCCTTGAACCAATTGTTATTGGATGCTGCTGTGTTGATGGTACGATTGAGGTAAATATTTAACTGAGCATGCCTATTCACCTAAATTCGAACTCTTCAATTATTTTATTACCTAACACCAGCACTACAATGAGCGATCTTAAACATATCCGCTAAATAATGTCATTATCAATGTCAATAGACCACAAACGAGCCGCCAAACTGGCTGGAGCTGATAAGCATACTGCAAGTCACCTATCTGTGATACAACAATGGCTTATTGATAGACTGTGCGTGGTGCCTCACTAAATTAAAATATTTCATTAATTTAATTACTTAAAATAATTTCATTAATTTAATTACGGTAGGCAGTGGCTTGGCTCGGTCCTTGGCATTGCTGATGACGCCCATGAACGACAGTAGCCACTCACCATCAGGTGGGCCGTAAGTTCGTCTGCTTCTTCATCATCATCATCATCATCAGCTTATAGCAGTCCACTGCTGGACATAGGCCTCTCCAATTGTTCGCCACTGAGCACAAGCTGCTTACAAGAGCGATAAAAAAAAAATGGGCGTACCTTTCATTTTTTTCTTGACCTCGCTGGACACGTTCATCAAAGTCTCCGACAACAGTCTCAATTTTCGTTTCGAATCGACACGCAGCAGCTTATTGTGGACCACGAGGATCCTGTCGACGCTGCCTCTGACGTCATTCTCGAACACCGAAGCGCCCAGCTTTCCTAACAGCCCGACCACCCAGACCACTTCATCGACGACTCCATCGAGGGACAGCGGCTCGTCTCGCACCAGGCTCTGCATGAGCACTATAGCCACTAGATTGGTTATCGTGACCGCCGTGTTCTGTTGCTGCAGGCTTATAACGTGCTCCGCCACGTCCTGGACCTGCCTGAACTGTTCCGGCGTAATTTGCTGGAGATCGTTCGGTTTCATTATTTCCTCGGTGGCTCTCGTTTTGTCTTGCAAGTACCCTCTTAAGGACAGCGGCGAGCCGAGGTTGATGTATATGTTGCCGAAGTGATCGTTCAGGCTGCGTAGTGATTTCAAGAGACCCTATAAGTTTTTTTTTTTGTTTTCAAAAACTTGTATTTATAATAAACCATGAGAGTTCGACATAATTTTTTTATTTTTTATTTTATTGCATAAATGTGTAAACGAGCTCACAGCTGACCTGGTGTTAAGTGGTTACAGAAGCCTATAGACATCTACAACGTAAATACCGCCAGCCACCTTGAGATATGAGTTCTGAGGTCTCTGTATAATTACAACGGCTGCCCCACCCTTCAAACCTAAACGCATTACTGCTTCACGGCAGAAATAGGTAGGGTGGTGGTACCTACACGCGCGGGCTCAGAAGAGGTCCTGCCATCAGTATAGTATTAAAAGCACTTTATTCGCTTGTAGTCTAAGAGGCTATTCCAGTTACGCCCAGACGGGTAGGTGAGCTCACGGGCTCAACCTGAAAGAATTTGCTAACACTAGCCTTAGCAAGAGCAGTGCTTCGCTGAATCTACCACTAGATCGAAATCGCGATCCACTGAGAAGATCCAGCGAGATAATCAAGTGGCCTGACGGTTTAATCTCATACAATGTCAAAATGTCGGAAATAATATAAGCCGTAGTTTTAATATAACCCGAAGAAAATAATATGCTATATGACAATTTGAGTAGTACACATGAGCCTAGATTGACTCAGACGTTTCTGCTCCCCTAAAAGGGAAGATATATAAGACCTTAATAAGGCCTGCCGTCTTGTATGGATCAGCTTGTTGGACAGCTAAAGTGGCGGATGAAAGTCGATTGCATACAGCAGAGATGCGAATGTTGCGATGGATGGGTGGAGTAACGAGAATGGACAAAATACAGAATGAATATGTTAGAGGAAGTTTGAAAGTAGCACCTGTGACAGAGAAGCTGAGAAGTGCGCGTTTGGGATGGTATGGACATGTGATGAGACGAAATGAAAATGAGGTTGGTAAGAGAGTGTTAACTATGAATGTGGAAGGATATAGAGGAAAAGGTAGACCTAAGAAGAAATGGATGGATTGCATGAAAGACCATATGTGTAAGAGGGGAGTGAGCGAAGAAATGGGATATGATAGAAGAGTATGGAAGGAGAAATCATGTTGCGCCGACCTCAAGTAACTGGGAGAAAGGCAGGAGAATGATGACATGAGCCGAAATTGATATTAATGGAACGTAATTGTGGCCTTTTTCTTGTTATTAGAATAAATACCGACAGATACTAAAAGCTTAGGCCCGACAATTGATATAGTGCGATTATATTTATATTCCGATACAATCACCCCACCGACTCTAGTGAAAACTACAGTCCGGCAATCTCTTGCCTAATTAAATAATTTTTTGAATCTTTCAACGAAGTTAGCTATGATATTGTGCCGGCTCATGTCAACGTCGAGGCAGTCCATCGGAGTCCGGCATGGCACTCGGACACGTATACAATAAATAATTATGAGTGATATGATTTTCCTTTGAGACTGACCCACACATAACTCCGCACAGTGTTAAAACTATAGATTTAAGCCACCCGTTTTATGATTTGCTATCGAAATATCCGGATATCACCAAGCCGGTTTGTTTTAAAGAGCCACCAAAACATTCGGTTTACCATCATATCGAGACTTTCGGACCTCCCGTACATGCTCGGGCGAGACCATTGCCACCACATCGTTATGCCAAGGTTAAAGAAGAGATAAGACTTATGCAACAGTTGGGGATTTGCAGACCGTCGAAAAGCGCGTGGGCAAGCCCATTACATGTTGTTGCAAAAAAAGATGGCAATATACGTCCTTGTGGCGATTATAGGGCGCTTAACGCAATTACTAAGCCGGATAGATACCCGATACCTAGATTGTACGATTTTACTTACATTTTAGCTAATAAAAAAGTTTTTTCCCGAATAGACATCAATAGAGCGTATCATTTTATAATGGTCGCTCCAGAGGATGTAGAGAAAACCGCTATAATTACACCTTTCGGTCTTTTCGAATTTCCACGCATGAGTTTTGGATTACGCAATGCTGCTCAGTCTTTTCAACGGTTTATGAACCACACTGTTTTAGAAGGTTTAGATTATTTATACACCTTTATTGATGACGTAGTTATTGCAAGTGACAATTTAGTACAGCATAGACAACACTTGGAAGAGGTTTTTGAAAGATTTAACAAATTTGGCATTACAATTAATTTAAATAAATGCTCGTTTGGTCAGTCCAAAATTGATTTTCTCGGGTATGAAGTTTCCACCGAGGGTATTAAGCCTCTTAAAGAGAAAGTAAACGCTATCATTGCATTTCCCAAACCGGAAACGGTCGATCAATTACGAAGATTTCTGGGAATGGTCAACTTTTATCGGTTACACCTACCACATGCTGTAGAATACCAGGCCGAATTAAACGAGTTCTTAAAAAACTCTAAAAAGAAGGATAAATCTAAGATAAATTGGACCGAAAAATCAAACGAGGCATTTATACAATGTAAATTAAGTCTTCAAAGTGCACCTGGGTTATCGTACCCGAAACCCGACACCCCACTTGCACTTATGACAGATGCATCAAATAAATGTGTGGGCGCTGTTTTACAACAGCACGACGGCGGTGTATGGAAGCCGTTAGGATATTTTTCTAAGAAGATGACAC